TTTACGTTGTAGATGTCCATGGGCTCCAGTAACCACTTAACACCAGGTGGGCTGTGAGCTCGTCCACCCGTCAAAGCAATAAAAAAAAATAAAAAAAGCCCATGCATCAGCTCGCTGAGCAATTTAAAGTATAAAAAGCTTATTCGAAGTGGTCTCCATTGGCTGCAATACAGTCCTTACTAAATTAAATGCAAAGTTCGTTGTTTGATTGTTTTAGTTGTGCCCGTAATATAGAAATAAATGACTTGAATATTGTCACCCCAAGTGCAGATTTGATCCAGTATCTTTTTTTTATTTATTGCTTAGATGGGTGGACGAGCTCACAGCCCACCTGGTGTTTAGTAGTTACTGGAGCCCATAGATATCTACAATGGCTGCCCCACCCTTCAAACCGAAACGCATTAATGCTTCACGGCAGAAATAGCCAGGGTGGTGGTACCTATCCGCGCGGACTCACAAGAGGTCCTACCACCAGTAAATATCTTTGCTAAAGTTAAAGTTATTCAGCCGTGGATAAGTTTCCGGCGTTCACGCCACAGAAAAACCCCTCGCTTGAGACCGTTCTAAGTAGAATGGATAATTTGATTTATTAACAACGAGACAAGTTCGCCTATACATTCAATTACGAAATTCATAAACATAAAAACTAAAATCAGAATTATAATAAGCCTTCTCTCGCGGACGGTTAGAATTTCAACCTTTATAAGAACGTTTACGCACCTCGTTTAAAAAAAATTAATCCATTAATTACCACGGATTCGGTCAGGATTCTTTTTTGTTTTTNGGATAATTTGATTTATTAACAACGAGACAAGTTCGCCTATACATTCAATTACGAAATTCATAAACATAAAAACTAAAATCAGAATTATAATAAGCCTTCTCTCGCGGACGGTTAGAATTTCAACCTTTATAAGAACGTTTACGCACCTCGTTTAAAAAAAATTAATCCATTAATTACCACGGATTCGGTCAGGATTCTTTTTTGTTTTTTGTACCTTTTTTATAACACAGAGCAAGCAGCACCTGTCTGAAGACCCTTCCGAGATTTCGATGACTGGTGATTTTTGTACAAATAAAAATTCAACAAAATCATTATCACGGGAATTTAGACCTTAAACTGAAGCTCCAATATCCAATTTTCTGTTTGTAGTTAAGAAAAATCTTCGTGAATTCTTTAGGAGCGCAGGGTGAGGAGATTCGACCACTGACAACGGCAAAGCGAGCAGGTAGAAAATCGATTGTTATTATTGTCAGTTCAACTCATAATACTAATATTATGTTGTATAATTTAAGTTTAAATTGTGTTGTGAATCACTATATAGACACGGCAAGTACGCAATCAATAACTTTTATAATTTATTTAATGGTATTCATAAAACTTATAATCGTATATGATGGAAGCATCACATAAATCTAAACTATAGTTTTTGGTTTGAAAAATGTTCAGTATATGATATGTCCTTCTTCAAACGAGGCTTGTAGAGAATATTAAGCCGACAGTCACCACTCACCATCAGGTGGGCCGCATACTCGTTTGCCTTCAAGGGCAATAAAAAACAAACAAAAAAGACTTCAAAATTATTTAGGTCTAAATTCCTTCGGTGTTTTGGTACTACTTACTACCTTAGGTTGATATTTCCTTTATATTGTACCATAGATTATATTGAATAATACTCTATTTAATTAGCGATAAATTCGTGCTATTTATAATATGCACCTGAGGGAATCCTTGAGGGACAAGTTTAAGGAAATCAAAATTCTAACTTTAGCGTCCCAATACATTTTTGAAAATTTATTGTACGTGCGTAAAAACATTGAAGAATTCCCCAGAGTCTGCGATTTGCACAATGTGAACACTAGGAACAAACATAGGCTTGCGTTGCCGGCGGCTCGAATTAAGAAAATAAGCAACTCTTTTAGGGGGCTGGGTGTACAGCTTTTCAACAAGATCCCACTAAACGTTCAACTACTACCTGTTCATAGATTTAAGAAAACTNGCCTGGTTTATTTTAGTTATTTTCATAGTGTTATGTCCTATGGCATTTTGCTATGGGGCAATGCTGCCGATGTCGAAACGATTTTCATCCTGCAGAAGAGGGCTATTCGTGCTATTTATAATATGCACCCGAGGGAATCCTTGAGGGACAAGTTTAAGGAAATCAAAATTCTAACTTTAGCGTCCCAATACATTTTTGAAAATTTATTGTACGTGCGTAAAAACATTGAAGAATTCCCCAGAGTCTGCGATTTGCACAATGTGAACACTAGGAACAAACATAGGCTTGCGTTGCCGGCGGCTCGAATTAAGAAAATAAGCAACTCTTTTAGGGGGCTGGGTGTACAGCTTTTCAACAAGATCCCACTAAACGTTCAATTACTACCTGTTCATAGATTTAAGAAAACTTAAGGAACGTTTGGTCAATAAGGCATATTATAAAGTTAAGGATTATTTACTAGATGGCACTACGTGGGAATGAGGCGCTCGCTCCTGGCCTTTTCATTTTTCATTATTATTATTTTTTTTTTAATTGTATTTTTTGACTTGTTTTTTCTTTTATTGTAAATATTTTTACATATTTAAAAAAAAGAAAATATGTTAGAAAAAAATAAAATAAAATAAAGCCCGCTGAGTTTGTTTCGCCGGTTCTTCTCAGGACTGTGGCTTTTTTTGGAACCGGTGGTAGAGTTAACATTGTTATTTGTATTTTGACATTCAACAAGTGTGTCATACTGACATCTAAGTTGAAATAAATGATTTTGAATTGAATTTGAATTTGAATTGAATTGAATTTCAACAGCATTCATAACAGCGCCTACTCCTCACTCTGATATCCACTATCTTGTACAAGATTTTTGGCCTAAAGTAAAAACACGTTCAGGTTTGATTGGAAAAATAGTCATAGCTGTGTTATGTTGACCTAGAACGATAGTATGGTGTCAGCCACCATCTCTTCCGGTAGGTATCGTAAAAAACGACCACGGAATCAACCGGAATATAAGCAGCAGCATTATTTGAGTATTATACTGGACATTTCTTGATGGTAGCACGTGGTACGAGCCCGCAAAACCAGGTACCATTGCTCTGCTTAATTCTGCACTGTGTTGACATCACTACCTGAATACCGCCACCCACTTTGAGACATAAAATCGAATTATCTTATACACCATTTTTCTTTCCTACCTATGCTGATAGCCTTGAGAGGCTATTTCAGCTTCACCCTAACGTGTAGGTGAGCTCACGGGGCTCAAACCGGAGTTTTGCTAACACTGACCCTAGCAAGAGCAGTGCTTCGCAGAATCTACCACCGGATCGGAAACGCGACCCACTAAGAAGATCCAGCGAGAAACTCAGCGGGCTGTGTCTGTGGGTTAATTCGCTCGTCGAGCCCTTCGTCGCAAGCAACGGGTTCGACGAGGACGGTGACTGGCTTATACACAAGCTCTCTCACCTTTCGAACCATGTCGCATGACTGCTTCGTAACGTCAAGCTGCCTATCTTGAATACCGCTTAACAATCTTTACTTTATTTGGAGCTAAGAACTAAGTACGTATAGTTGTAAGTGACATACGTTCCGCTGGTTCAATAACGTGTTAAATATTAAATAAAGAATTCGATTCACTTTTGGCAATCCCTTAGCCTCGTTACTACGGATCGAAGCGGCGGGGCTCGGAGCATAAAAACTGACCACAATAGTCGGAGAACCGGTCGGGCCGGCTCGCCGCTATCATCCGCCAACTTTCCCGCCTTCGAGACGAGATGAAATAAAACGATTGACTCGCGACCCTGTCTGTACTTTACGAACGATTTCAAATATCTTACAACAAAAACAATCCAAGTCCTGCCATTTTTTTTTAAACTACGTATAGGTAAATTCTATTTACAAAAAAGCAGAACAGGACAAAATAGAATAGACAGAATAGAATTACCTATACAGAATAAAAAAACCTACAAATTCTGACTTCTTTCTCTTCGTTTTATTTTCTGTTCTAAATCTGCCCGTGTCACACGGGTTGGCACAACCCTCCTGCCTACATCTGTCGCAAAAGTCATGAATGAACACTATATAAATGTTTCTACAGTTAAAACTTTGACCTAGTCTTAAAGTTTCCCATTAAGATACCCACTCTTTTGGTATTGGACACTCCTGTACTTAGGTACTGCTACTCACTGCTATCTTTGAGCCCTAGTAGCCCCTTAACACGAGCTGTAAGCACTTCTGTCTCCATTCTCGCATAAAAATACGATCGCAACCAAATACAAAATTCGATTCTATTATATAATTGTATATTTTTGAGAGAATCTTAAATTCAATGAGATCTCTTTGACCATAACCGGGGAACATCAAGCGACATTTGGCTTCACGCGGCCGCGTCCAACGCCTTAGATGTATTAATAATAACTCTGTAATAAAATTAACGCCTTAGGTGCGCCCGTCGTGGGAACCAACAGCAAACCTTGCCGCAACTTAATTTCAATTTATGAGAAAAGTCTCCTCTTAATTTATACCATTATGTTATTACTCTAGGAGGTGGTCGTTTTGCACTAAAAAGTTCCCCTCCTGGTTGAGCCTTTGCTCGCCGACCTGTCCTTGTGAAACTGGAAAGAGCCACCAGTAATCCCTCAATCATAAAAAAAGTAGGTAGGTACAGCATTTTCTATATCTCTCTTATTTCTAGCGCAGTGTCTTTTTTTCGCTGCCTCTCCTAATATTAATTACTCTAATAGATTAGTTAGAAATTATTGAAACGAGAAGTTTTGTTGTAAAGTTTTTGAATCTAAAGATGTATGATTTGGTTTGATAAAAACACGCCCTCTGTTGTATAATAGCAAAACTAATTTTACACTTTACATCCGACCATAGACTATCATATTTGTTTCAGCTTGGTATTACTACCGAGAATGTCAATTTCAAAAGCCAAGACAATTAATGTACAGACTCAAAAACTGACAATTTAATATTGACAATTTCATTCTTGAAGACATTTTGCGCGACGTACCATCCTGACTTCTGTCATTTTTGTCAAAAATGGTCATTTGACGTAATTTGCTGACAAAAATTTAGAAATTTTACTTAATTTTAAATATGGGGAGTTCGCAAAGTGCGCGGAAGCTTAGCGTGGATAATGAAAATGCTATTCAAGTGTCTCAAGAAGCCATAGACCGAATACAGGCTCAACTAAACGCGAAAGTAAATATATTATTGAATTACATAATTTAGATCAATGTCACATCTAGATAAAATAAATAAAACAAAGTTTGTGTGAAAAATGAATTAAATTGATATTAATTTATATCAAACTTCATAAAATGTTTGCCAGTTCACTATAAATCATTACGAAACTAGGTTAACATGGTTTTCAATAACCACTTATCACGATATTATAGACATCATCTTTTTTATTAAAAAATAACCACTAATGTTAAATAGAGACGTTAACAACTCAGCTGTCTCTATCTACCTTAAGAAATAGATATTATTGCCAAAAACATAACATAAACAGTATCAACAAAAACATGAACAAATGAATTTATCATCACATAAATAAAAAAATCCTAAACACTAATACTGGGTAGAAATGTTGCCAATGCTTAGAAACAATAATTGGTGTAATGGCCTTACAATATATTCTAGCAAGCGGAACAACCAAAACCAGTTCCACAGTATCTTCCTCCACCTCCATACTATGATCAGCGAAAACAACAGGAGCATGCTGCTGAAGAAGCATACTGGACTCGACGCATTGAAAACTTAAAAAGAGTACATGAAAAAATCAATAGTGGCATGGAATTAGAATATCAGAAAACACTGAAAGAGACAAATGAGCTATTTAATTTCATAAATAATGATAAAAATGTGAATAAACTGCCTCCATGCCAAGAAGAAAAAGAAAAGGTATTGTTGTTACATGTTTAATAATATTTTGAAAACTTTAATCTGGAACAAACTAGTGAGGAAGTTAGACAACAATATTATCATTGGACAAATATGTATAGGAAGATCGACTTGGGTTAGCCATGTTAAAGATAGATTAGTTACATTATTTCTTAAGACAGGTTTGACCTCACCAAGATTCGGTATAACTCCAAAAGTGGTCTTGTTTTATTTTCATAGGCTATGACTTTAGACTTACCACAAAACTGAAAATCAAAAAGCTAGTAAAGTTAGTGTATTGCTTACTTTACCAGTTAGCTAGCTGCTCTGTGAAGCACTGCTCTTGCTAGGGCTAATGTTAGGAACATCCTCAGGTTTGAGTGCCCTGAGAGCACTTGCTCGGTATCCGTATAGCCGTCTAAGGCTACCAGCATATGTAGGAAGAACAAGCTAGTTATTAGACAGGTTCAGAGCAACTAAAAACATTTTGGTGCATTTCCTAACCTATTCACTGCTAAGTATGAATATTGTAAAGCCCTTTAAATGTTATGGCAGGAAACATTTTAGCATCATGGTCATAAAGGGTTATAAAGGTTGTGAAGAAGAAAACAACATATTACTACTATATGGAAGGGCATATATGTAGTTATATGTTTTTCCTTTTTGTCTTCTTTATCTTTAAAATAATAATTCCAAATATTAATAAAATATAAATCTTGATTCAATAATTAATCCCCAGCACACACAGTGACCTAGAGGGTTTGTAATTAAATAGTAAGTTAGTTATTGAAGTAGAATAGCACCATCCTATCGCTTCCTGCAGGTTCTGTCAAAATGTGTAGCTGCATTATCTGAGTATTATATCAATGTACTGCAATTGGCAACTGCCACTTACAGGTTATAGGGTCTATTTTTTTATGTTAGGCTTATTAACAATGCCCAATAAGAAACTGTCATTGTAGATGAAACTAGGACTCATTTAGTAATATCCTTATAAAAATCTTTCTCTGACCCTGCTCTAAATATCCCATATGTGAATTATAAATATAGCTTAATTAGTTATATTATGCAATTTCTGTTCTGGTTTCATGTGTATTGAGGTTTAAGGCATTTAAGGGTTAATTGAGGCATTAAGGGTGATATGGTTAAGTATATTAATAAAGATGGTAAATGTTTGGCAATAGTTTCACTATCCACAGGGGGTAAAAGGTTACCAGAGCCTATACATAAAAATGTAATTTTTGATGGTATGTTACAAACGGTTACTGACAAATACTGCAAGTTATGTTAGTAGACATATCTATCATGAACGAATCCACCATACGGTACTTCCTGCTACTCATTTATGTTAATATTTTTTTTAATTATATCATATTTCAGGTACTTCAGTGTTACAGTACAAATGCGGACAAGTCTCTCCTTTGTTCAGTGTTAGTGAATCAGTTCAATGAGTGCGTATGCCGAAGCAGGGTTGCTGCTATCACAGCTTCTTGATTTATTTCCGTAAAGATAAATTATTCCAAGCCCGTGTATTACATAAAATAAACTGTTAAAAGTAACGATGACGCGGCGCACGAGATGTAGATTTAATAATTATTATTGCTGTATTAAATAAAATGTTAATGATTTCTCATTTGGGTTTTTTTTTTGTATTTCTGTTGGTAAATTCTTTATTAATATTATAATTTATAAAAGTATTTACGAATCTTAAATAAGTAGTTTGTTTAATACCGTACCAACGCTAACCATTTAAGTAACTAGTCAAAAGATCAAGTTTCAAAATAAAAAAATTGTGGTATAGTACATAGATGTTTTAAAAAGATCAATAATGAGATTGTAACAGAAGACAGCTAGCACGGAACTACATAATAATACTATTTCTCCGTTGTTTATTTTCCTAACAATTTTCACAACGTACCAGCATTTTGTTTTTATGAAAAATCGTTCATCGCCCATGCCGTAAATATGTAAATTAATAATCCGAAAATACGACCCAAAAAATTTTTTTTTTTATTGCAGTTCATGAGTTGGGACTACGAGGATATTTGGAGTTCCATTCACGTGCTGGGAATGACGAGAGGAAATATGTCGAAGTCGAACCAAGCTTTTTCAAGACAGACCTCAACAGAATTATAATTTGCGTAATCACTGGTGGTAGGACCTCTTGTGAGTCCGCACGGATAGGTACCACCACCCCGCCTATTTCCGCCGTGAAGCAGTAATGCGTTTCGGTTCGAAGGGTGGGGCAGCCGTTGTAACTATACTGAGACCTTAGAACTTATATCTCAAGGTGGGTAGTGCATTTACGTTGTAGATGTCTATGGGCTCCAGTAACCACTTAACACCAGGTGGGCTGTGAGCTCGTCCATCCATCTAAGCAATAAAAAAAAAAGAAACAAAACGACTGTCGGATCTGTCGATCGATGGGCTCTCCGAAATCCGGCATTCTATCCTCGGGATATCCCACTGACTCAGAACCAGCCTGGATCTGAGAGCGCGAGACAACGTCCCGACTGCTTTGTTTCAAGGTGCAAGCAGAGTACTCATACAAGGCCTTAGGTATCTGTCACCCGTCCCAAGCCGGCATTTGAAAAAAACCCAAAACACTTTTATGGAAGTCAGTGGCAAATTCCTACTACATCGCACTCGATGACGAGGTAGCGGGCTGACGAGAGAAGAAGTCTTTCTCTCGAGCCCCACCATACGTTTCTGCATGTGGTGTTCGCTCACGCGGTCTGCACACACATTGACACTCTACAATCCCACTTTTGCAGGTTAGCCGTCGGAGCTCCGTCGTTCGTGAGGAACGTAGACCTAGTCGACGACCTGGGCCTCGAATCAATCCGGAAACACATGAAGTCAGCGTCGGAACGCTACTTCGATAAGGCTATGCATCATGACAATCGCCTTATCGTTTCCGCCGCTGCCTATTCCCCGAATCCTGGCCACGCACGAGCCGATCACCGTCGATGCCCTAGACACGTCCTTGCGGATCCAATAACCCTTGCATTAGACGCCTTTGGCTCTAACACTAGGAGGCTTATAACCCCCGGTAACCGTACTACTCGTCGAACTCGGCAGAGTTTGACCTGCAACCTAACCTAAACATTAGCCCGCTGACTTTCTCGCCGGATCTTCTCAGCGGACGGCAATTCTTATCCGGTAGTAGATTCATTCGCGAAGCAGGTACTCTTGAGTTGTTAGGTCTCCTTTGGAGGCGGTCGGGTAGCTGTTAGCAAATCCCACCCCTCCTGGCTGAGCCTGATGTCCGGTCAACATCTGCACGAGTTGGAAGGTGATGGGTTCATGACTACAACTCGTCATGTCGTCGGTAGGCAGCGGCTTGGCTCTGCCCCTGGCATTGCTGAAGTCCATGGGCGACGGTAACCACTCACCATCAGGTGGGCCGTATGCTCGTCTGCCTACAAGGGCAATAAAAAAATAAAAATGTTCTAAAAGACCGGCCGCTTCGACGATCGTCCAGCAGGCCTTCCAGCGTCCCGGGGATTAACATTAACATTAGTACGGGTACCGCCTAAGGCGAGACTTTCGGCGCGCATCGCGGTACCGTAAGTTTCGTGTAGTCGGTGTGGTGGAGCTCGATGGGGTTTAATCGGTAGTCGTTCTGCGGGGCAAGTGCTTCGTGCGCCTTTTTCAAGGCGTAGTCTCCTGTGAGAAATTGGGGGAGGTGAAGGACCTCGGCCCTTCTCTTCTCCCCTTCTTCCCCTCAAGAGGCGCCGGAGTCCGACATAACCCGGTCCGTTACCCCCCTCGACCGGGTATCCGTAAACCCCAGCGTTAAAAAAAAAAAAAATCCAGCGGAACGTTTTTACTCGATATTCCGCTAGTCAGAACGTTTTTCGAAACTTGTACAGATTTGCATTATATTAAGCAAATTTCTTAAAATTTGCTGCACACTTATAGTAGGTACATACTTTTTACTGTATCTACTGTACTGTACCTTTCTCATATTATTTTGATTGATCAGAGATTGAGCACGAATGAGTAGGTATCGAAAAATATTCGTATCGCTATCGAGAAAAAATGTATAGGATTTAAACAGCGCCCCTATCGTCCGTAAAAAAAGTGTGCAGCACGAATGAATTTACTTACTTTCGTCAATCGAATCGTCACGCTCTCGAAACTCGATACTCTTAATCGAAAGCGCGAAATTTTTTTTACTGATGGTAGGACCTCTTGTGGGTCCGCATGGGTAGGTACCACCACCTTGTCTATTTCTGCCGTGAAGCAATAATACGTTTCGGTTTGAAGGGTGAGGCAGCCGTTGTAACTACATATACTGAGACCTTAGAACTTATATCTCAAGGTGGGTGGCGCATTTACATTGTAGATGTCTATGGGCTCCGGTAACCACTTAACACCAGGTGGGCTGTGAGGTCGTCCACCCACCTAAGCAATAAAAAAAAACGTAAATCTCGAAGGCTGACTATCGAGTACTACCTTAATGTATCCGTTTTTGTATCGAGGACTCGATACATTTACATCATGAATTCGATAGATTTTCGTGCTTGACGTACCTACTGAACACAGAAAATGAATGTTGGTACAAGAGATGCTCAAACTGTTTTAGTTACCATAGCTACTCACTGCTACTCTTGTTATTTTATAGCACTAAAGTATGAAACCTAGGTCTATGTTTTATAGTAATAATTACAACTGCATTGTATCTTTGACAGTCGTAAATATAAAAGTATCGATCATTTTATTTTTGATCACTGTCACACGCTTACAGTCACTATTACATATGTTTTGATAAGAAACTGTTAAAAACACAAATAAATTATAAAATGAATAATCCAGACGAAATTAACAGACGTGTTCCGCTATACCCAGGCTTCCCAGAATTAGCAAGATCTGATGTCAGCATATACCCATCATACACAAAATTAGGATTGGCGTAGTAAGTACCTAACGAACTCAGAATCTGTTACTCTTGAATCTTTTACTTAAACAGTTATACATTCAAAATTTCATACAAAGATTTAATGTTTTTAACAGCCGCGTGGTTTGCCGCCATCGCTACCATTGGGCTAAAGTTGCACAGCGCAAGCAGTTTATGAAAGAACTACACAGCTTCGAAAAATTACAGGCCAACGCTTTAGATGGTGTTAGAGTTCATCGGGAATTTTCCCAGGGTATACTGTCACATGTGATACCCCCACGCAGATACATGCAGAAACTGACAACGGACCCTTTGACTCCTAAAGAAAGAATGCGTGTTGAAGAGATTATAAGTGGAAGAATTAATTTTGGACAGAAATAAACATATGGAATTTTTTTTTTCGAATATTGTAATCTTTCTTTATTTGCTTAGACGGTAAAGATTACTCATAAAACATCGCTACATGTCAAAGAAAAACATAGTCGAAATCCTATAAGCCAAATCCCTCAATGTGTTTTCTCGTATGTCAAAATAAAATGGCATCTTTCAAATTATAACTCCAGTAGGTTGCTACTTGACACCAAGTGTGTTATAATAAGCTTGTTCTCTAGTCTATGCAACATAAAGTTTAAAAAAAACAAAGCGAAAGAAGTAACTTCCAAATCACCACGTATAGTAAAATCCCTGCTGTTCATACTGAAAAATACAAGAGAAATAAAAGTACTTTTTTGTGGACAGTGCTCAGAAAAATATGTTCAATTATTAATGATTTATACAAATTTAGCACTCCTCATACATTCAAACAAGCAGTCATGGGCATCATAATTGTTGCTTTGTAGGCTGCATATGTGCTGCTAAACCAGGTGGTGACTCCGTGATATTCTTGACATTGCTGATGTCCTTGTACTTTAAAGTGGATCAGTAAAATAAAATATATAGATTTTAGAACTTTAATTAGAAGTTAAATTATTTTCCATGCTTTTCTTCTTTTTTATTTTTTTACTTTTTTCTACATTACTCTGTAAATAGTGTGCTTCCTTCTTTGCCTGTGCAATTTCAGCCCTCAGCCTCTGTTTCATTGCAGCCCTCTCGTATGCTAATCTTTCACTGAGATGAATCCATTTAAATCTAGGGATATATTTAATGTTCCAAATCATGTCATAGTAGCGGGATTTCTTTCTAGTGCCAATTTTTGTATTGTTTAATTTCACTGCGACTTGCTTTGCAATCTTCTTTTTTTCGAACTCGACCCATCCTTCTGAGAATTGATTAGGAACTCTTTTGCGTTTTTCACCTGGTTCTGAAATAATTTAAGCATTTGTCAGTTTAGCAATGTAGATAAAATAAATTGTCTTGTTTTTTAGGTTGCTAAAGACAGTAAGAACAGTGTCAATATATGCTTTCTTCAAAAAAAATTTACATATATGTAAGTCAAGTCATAACACACATAATTTTGATCACGGCAACCACTAACATTAGTGAATTGAGAGTGAAAGAAGGAAAGACTTTTGTGATTATATTTAACTGACCAGAAAAAGAGATAATAATACCTTGTTATGTTCAGTTACATTAAGCTACACTGTCAGTAAGCTGAGGATTAATTACTGTAAAGAAAGATATCTATTAAGATTTATAAGGTTCTGAGGTCTAAACTACTTGGCAACACTGCTGAAGTTGGTGGAAATGACGATTCCTCATTCTACAATTTTACTCAATTTTTTCTTACTCGTTATTGAATTTTACTCGTAAGGTATAAACTACCGCGTATCGTGGAGCGAAAACTTAGCAAGCCTTGTCACAGGTCATTTATTTCCTAAAATGTCTAAGATACAATAAACACATTTAAAATACTTACTTCCAGTCGGCTGAAGATAAATTCGACCAACTTCTCCGAACTGACTGAATATTTCACGTATTTTGGCAACGTTCATGTAAGGGGGAATCGTCGACAAAAATATTATACCTCGTTTTCGTGTTTTCTGTTTTAATAATTTGTTATCAAATTTAGATGTTCTGTCTATATTCTTCTGGTTAATTTCACAATCTGTACCATTCTCGGGTACTCTTTCTGTTTCAACATCAGGCATTTCACACGTTTTAAAGTAGGTACCTATTTACAAATGAGTTTTAGGAATTTTGAAAGTTTTGATACACATTATAAGTTATAACCCATTATAACCTTAAATTACAATACAAAGTAGTTTTATTTTTCCAGCTGGAAAGGCAAGGGTATCATACCATACGGGTACTCTTTTATTATTTTTTTAATATAAAAAATGATATTATGAAATGAAATGAAATTGATTAATATGAGACATGGCATGAAATGATATGAAAACGAAATGGAATGAAATGAAATGAGATGAGATGATATGGGATGAAATATAATCTCAGTAAAACGGTAGTCATTTACGGAGACTTTTTCGGTGGACTTTTTGGAGATTCCCGAGAAGTTACGCTCAGCGGCCTTGTTTCGTTTTTCCACATTTGTGCATTTTCACAGATATTAAACAATGAATAAACCACCGTTGTTACACATTTAAACCTGAAGAAACACTAAATAAACAAACTAAACCAAATCACACAACCACACTCCTCGCGTTCTACACATGAGACTTTTTGGCGGGATCGCGAGGAGTGACGTTGTGTGATTGGTTTTATTTTGTCCATTCAGTTTTTCTTCAGGTTTTAATGTGTAAAAATTGTGGTTTATTAGCTGTTTAATATCTGTGAAAGTGCACAAATGTGGGAAAATGAAATAAAGCCGCTGGACGTAACTTCTCGGGATCCTCCTAAAGTCCACTGAAAAAATCTCAGTAAATGACCACCATTTTACTGAGATTATATTTCATCCCATACCATAGCTGAGTTTCTGTGAAGAATCAAATCCGGAATGAGATTATTCGACAGAGAACTAAAGTCATCGACATAGCTCAAAGAGTCAGCAAGCTGAAGTGGCAGTGGGCTGGCCATATATACCGTAGGACTGACGATCGTTGGAGCAGACGGGTTCTCGGGTGGAGACCGCGCAGTGGAAGACGTTACGTGGGACACCCCCTGGCTAGATGGTGTGATGACCTCCGCACGGTGGCCGGCAAGAAGTGGATGAGGAGAGCCGCAGACCGGGCTCAGTGGTGTAGATTGGGAGAGGCTTATGTCCAGCAGTGGACGACTGTGGGCTGTTTATGATGATGATACCATATCATCTCATTTCATTTGATTTCATCCCAGTTGATTAATGTTTCAAATTAATCGTCTTCATTTCATTTCACCTCATTTCATTTCACTCTATATTAACATTTTTCATAAAAATAAGACATTACCTAAAGCTCTTAGTTACCAGGTCATAAAATCCATTAAAAATTTTTTATTAATAACTGACAGCACAGTAAACGTCAGTTGACTTCATAGATTATACACTTAATTTATTTGTTGACTTCATCCGATAAAAAATACGATTAAAGTAAAAATTCAAGGGAAAAATAACACACATTGTCTTGGATAAAAAAATAGTGACAATACACATATTTTTTACAAAATGGGTTGTGATGGCGGTACAATTCCTCGACGCGATGAGCTCGTTCGAATGAAAAAGAAGCCAGAACAGGTATAATCGCATGAACATTATCCTTCATTGATCATCAATTCATCATCCTTTTAATTAAGATTTACATTGACGTTTTATTTGTTAAATTTATTTCAAAGAAAGATAAAGATGCTGAAAGAAGTTTCAAGTGGCGTAATTGTGCGCTCTCGCAGCAAATACTACAAGAACCAATAATGGCATGCAGTCTTGGAAGACTTTACAGCAAAAGTTCCGTTCTTGAGGCACTACTTGACAAGGAAACTAGGCCAGAATCAATTAATCACATTAAAAATCTGAAGGTCAGTAATCATATGGCTATATACAAACTATTTGATTTGATTTCCATTTTCAACAACACTAGATATATTTATTAGTTAAGCTTAGGTACCTAGGTTGTTAAGCCTGATATTAAACAAGTAACACACAGTATTAAACGAGTCGACAGATAAAAACTAGCAGATCTTCAGCCATTAACTTGATGTCTCATTTGGTGTTTGATAATTTATTCTGGAAATTGTTATTGTGTTGTGGCAGTAATTATGGTGGCAAGATCAAAAGATGCCAGTAACAAGTTGCAAAGGCTAACACATGATATTGCCAGCCCTCATATAGATCTAAAAACCAATTTAATTTAATACACATTAATTTTGTATCAAGAACAAATGCAAAAATTGCTTTACTCATTTATTCTAGGATATTAAAGATCTGAAACTAGTCAAGAACCCTGCATATGTTCCTACAGACCATACTGATGGGACATTTGATAATGGGAGTGCTCCTTACATCTGCCCTATTAGTGGCTTGGAGATGACTGGAAAATTTCGTTTTGTTTTTCTCTGGAGCTGTGGCTGTGTGCTTGCTGAGAGGGCATTGAAGGAAGTCCGACAGAACCTGTGCCATATGGTATGACCTATTGGTTTTTAATATCTGAAAAGATTAACTATTAAGTGAAAATTATGTTGAAATAATAGTTGAATAGTTTTAATTCAAAAAAGAAGTGACTATATGTAGTGTAGTATATACATCACATGGGATAATAAATACTTTTTTATTACAGAACAAAGTTCTATTTTTACAAGTGTATGTTAGAATGTAACTTTTACTACATACATAAAAATACATTCATTTTGTACTGTAGATACTAAAAATGTTATATGTTCAATTTCCTGATTAGAAAAATACTGATTAAAATATATATTTGGTACAAAATACCATACAAGAAAAAATGTTTTGGGTTTTCTATAACCTTCAAGTCAAACATATCAAGTTATGGTTATATCAATGCAGTCCAGTGTGAATGTTAGGATAGCTGACATACAATACAATTGAAAATTCCACTTCATATCTCTAGTAGTGTTCACATAGATGCAACTAGGTTATTATTATTATAGATTGCGGTTAAGGATGTATGTATTATAAGATTAGCTAATTAATTACATCTTCACACTCCATTCTGTTTCCAGTGTCAGCAACCATTCACCGATAATGACATAGTTGTTCTTAATGGTACTGAGGAAGACATTGAAAAACTCAAAGACAAGATGGCAATTCGAGTATCAAACAGGAAAAACATTAAAAAGAACAAGGCAGAGAAATTGGAAAAGTCCATAATTAAAACTGAAATCAATTCAGGACCATCGACTTCTCAAGATAATCCATGTAACACAGCAGAGAAGCAGTCAACAGAAGTTAAAAGCGAGATTAAAGTAGAAGCTGGAACAAGTAGTACAAAAGAAATTGAAACAATTCCATTATCTTTACCAAAGTTCAATCCCAACAAACAACCTAGAGGACATTTTGGATCGCAAAAGAGAGCAGCCCCAACTGAACTGGCTCAGGATCCATCATACAAAAAGACAAAGAAAGATTACAGTATTGCAAAAGATCCAAAGGCCACTGATGTTTACAAATCATTATTTACATCACACAAAGATGAGAAGGAACAAGAGAGAGCACATTGGATCACGTACAATCCATTCTACAACTGACACTGGTCGCAGAGTGGAGTNGGATCGCAAAAGAGAGCAGCCCCAACTGAACTGGCTCAGGATCCATCATACAAAAAGACAAAGAAAGATTACAGTATTGCAAAAGATCCAAAGGCCACTGATGTTTACAAATCATTATTTACATCACACAAAGATGAGAAGGAACAAGAGAGAGCACATTGGATCACGTACAATCCATTCTACAACTGACACTGGTCGCGGAGTGGAGTCCAGTGATTCTTGAGTCATTGTTTACATACTCCACATGTATTTTCATGTGTCTGATGGTTTATTTACAATGTTAACAAGTATGACATTTTAATGTGATCTATATTAATGGCTTAGAATTTATTAAATGAATAAAAAACAATTTTTTTTTTTCATAATTGTTTATTTATAACTTATTCCTCTATATTGCACAGAAATCAAATGAGAGCCGAAAATTCTAATTTCTAAAAATTTGTGCATCTTTGGCACCAGTTCTAATCACTAAAATCGTTTGAGAGTAAATTACTAGCGTTCATATACTTATATAATTGGAATGTATTTAAATTTTCTAAGAAAAACATAGTTTTCATGTCTACAGCTACAAGTAAATTAAGACTAGTAATAAATAAATAATTAACAATAAAACAACTAGATACTAGTTAATTCACGTGTACAGAGATGACACAACACAGTCGAATTTAAAAAAATCAATAATGCTAATTAATATCTTTCTAAAATTTGTAAATCTAAAATTGCACAGGAATAACTTCACATAGCGAATAATTAAACGAAGTATTCTAAATCAGTGGGGTGCAAACTAGGGGACACGACCCCTGTCGGCATCGCTATAAGATTGGTGGATGTCACTAATCTTTTTTATATTTCAGTCGATTGAGCAGCTTGTAATACACCACTCCTGATCCCACCAAATACAGATCATAACTAGAATTAAGGTCCGTTCACACAGACCGGCTCGGAGAGGAGAGCAGATTTTATTACGTTGGAAGTTTTGAGTAATTGTAGTAAAGTTTATTTTTGCATGTGCACTTTCTTTGTCATTAAGAATGCTTGAACGGGCTGTCTGAAACAATAAGAGGATCCAATTGCGAGCAAGAGCGCCGATCGGCTCCCATAACGTGCGCATACGCTTTCAGATCTCTTTCAGGCTGTATGTGAAATAGTTGGCGACTTTTTTATTTATTTATTGCTTAGATGGGTGGACGAGCTCACAGGCCACCTGGTGTTAAGCGGTTACTGGAGCCCATAGACATCTACAACGTAAATGCGCCACCCACCTTGAGATATAAGTTCTAAGGTCTCAAGTATAGTTAGTTACAACGGCTGCCCCACCCTTCAAACTGAAACGCATTACTGCTTCACGGCAGAAATAAGCGGGTTGTTGGTATCTACCCATGTGGACTCATAAGAGGTCCTACCACCAGTAAAAAACTCCGCTCCGTCCGCTTCCAAACGTATACGATCCGGTCTGTGCGATAAGAAAAAAGCGGGTCGATGCTCTCCGAGCCGGTCTGTGTGAACGGACCCTTAGAATCGAAATTAATAGACAATGCCGACGGCGGTGGGTGACTGCATATATAATTTTAAGCAACGCTGTTGTCTTGTTGCACTGACGCTAGAGTGGCCTCTATTATAAGATTGAAGTCCAGCTCGTTGAGGCTCGCTTTGGCCGTCAGCAGATCCAGGAATGTGTCCAGCGGCGAAAGACGTTCTCCAGACGGCAACGCTGCGATACCTGTCGGAATAAATAATTACTTAATAATCGGTCTATTTGTTTCTAATGGCTACCGCACTGTTCCAACCAAAACGCATGATTTATTCTCGGCAGAAATAATGGTACCTAATAGTGGAACCTACTTGTACGAATGAACGGCCGTCTGGTGTAGTGGTAAGTGACATGGTCACTACATAAAGGGTTCACGGGTTCGAATCCCGCCAAGGGAAGATATTTGTATGAAAAATATAAAAGGTCTTTTCCAGGGTTATGGATGTATATTAAATATGTGTATAATAAAAATCTTACATTTATTTCCGTTATCTGGTACCTGTGACACAAGTTCTTTACGAACTTAGCACGGGGCCAGTTAACGTGGCGTGATTGTTAGTAAATATTTATTATTATTGAAATATCAATACACAGCACGGCTGTGTTAAAAATATTCACCATTTTTGCTCCAGACCCTCGAGCGATATTTAATTCTTTTTTTACGAGATGTCCACGCGGTGGGGGTTTCAGGTGTGGTTAATATATATATATACATATATATATGTTATTATACTTTCTATTTGAGCCGTTCACTTTCCTGTCTTTGAAAGAGCAATTAAGTTCTGACACTCCTCCAATGTATGTTTTCTCTTAGATCATCCGGGAACCTTACACTCATGAAACTGAGTTAAATATCAGATCTTTCAACACAGCTTACAATTTGCATTAGAGAAGGGTCTGTTGACGCGTGCACAAGTATTATAAAAAACCATTATTTGTCACCTTTGTATATTTGGGAAACAAACGAATGAACTAATCTCGTATTTAATGTTTTCTCTAGTCATAAACATATTAATTAAAATTATTTTTACGATTTAATATTACATTTTATACTTAAGCACCGTTAATGGATCGGGAGGATCCGTAATGGCGTGAAGGATATGCAAGGACGTGTCTCTAGGGCAGGGGTTTCAATATGGCGCGTATGTACTCAGTGGCGGATTAAAGGTCCAGAGCGCCCTAGGCAATCACTTTATCGGCGCCCCTGTACCGGCCATAAATGGCCATCATAATACTATAAGTTTTAACTAGTTGTTTTTGTAATTATGATGACGTTGTATCATGAAACCCTAGACTTTAGTAGACCAGGACCCTTGTACTTATGCTAATGCGTGAATGAAATACAAACAAACCCGCAATATTGCATAATACGAGTATATCGATGCTTGTGCAATATACCTAATCTATTATAGATTAAGATTATATCAGCATTTAGTTCTTAATCGTGGATATGTTATTTTCTTTATTTATTTAAAAACTCTGAGCTCGCGCGCCCCTTGTAACTTCGCGCCCCTATAGTAGAATTATTTTGTCCGTGCAGTTTGGGTCATAAAACATAGCCCGGCTAGAGCGGTGAGCATGTTGCGCGGGTGCAACGCCATTATCGATAAAAACAAATGAGTTATTGAAGGCAGGTACACGGCGGCGGGGTGGTATACGAAGGGTGGTGAGACATTGTTATGTTGGCGAGGAAGAGGAGGCAAGCAGTGGTGTACAAACGAAATGAATATTTTATTTTTCCTTCCAAATTATATTTGAAATAACGGCCGTGACAATATACAGGTACATAGGTGTTGTGCGTAAGGTTACTGCGAAAGATGTGTCGGTGCGGTTGCAGTAGTGCTCGTTGACCGATTTCTTTTTTTGGTAGTTTTTGTGCGCATAGACAGTTATGTTAAGAGTCATTTGTACTTACCTGCAAATTATAGTACATTATGTCGAAGAGAAATGTGTTGTTATGCATTCGTTCTCTGAATTTCTTTAGTGACACAATGGCTACTCCTTTGTTTTGTGTTAAAACGGCAGAATTTATTCAAAATTATATTTGCACGTGTTGTTATCAACAATGTGTTAAAAATTTTCACTGAAATAAGAATAGATCCCGAAAAGTTACAAAGTGTTAATTTCTGCCGTTCTCGTTAACTTGCTGCGGCGATATGTTGTGAAAGTGTTCGATTTTTCGAATTTTTCGAATTTTCGAAATTTCGATTCGAATTTTTCTAATGAAATACGTACTCAACAAATGTTCACGATTGATTTCGACGGTGAAGGAATAACATCGTGTAATAAAAATCAAAACCCGCAAAAATTATAATTTGCGTAATTACTGGTGGTAGGACCTCTTGTAAGTCCGCGCGGGTGGGTACCACCACTCCGCCTATTTCTGCCGTGAAGCAGTAATGCGTTTCGGTTTGAAGGGTGGGGCAGCCGTTGTAACTTACTTGAGACCTTAGAACTTATATCTCAAGGTGGGTGGCGCATTTACGTTGTCGATGTCTATGCGCTCCAGTAACCACTTAACACCGGTGGGCTGTGAGCTCGTCCACCCATCTAAGGAATAAAAAAAAAGATTAGTGATTTTTTCTTTCATTTTTATCACTAACCCACAAAATGACAAAACTAAATACACTATCGATAACGCTTATCGACAACAATAATGCGCATCACTATGCCCGTCCATAAGGCTCGTGAGTGGAAGAGAGAGCGAAATACTCGCTTCACCGCTCCGATTTCTTATGACCCAAACTGCACGGACAAAATAATTCTACTATAGTATNATTTATTTAATAATTCTAAGCTCTCGCGCCCCTAGGCACGTGCCTAGTTTGCCTTACGGATAATCCGCCTCTGTACGTACCGGTGTCGCGGACGGGGCGGTGTCGCGCGCGGTCGTGGCGGGCGGGCGCGGCGCCGGACAGCAGCGCGGCGGCGTGGTCGCGCGCCCGCAGCACCAGCGCCGCCCGCGCGCCCCACGCCGCCAGCGCACGCCGCCCGCGCCCCTCCCCCGCCACCTGAATCAGCCGCAGTTTCTTGTTCACGCTGCACTTGTCTTCTTCTTTACCTGACAACAATCGTAATCGCTTACGAAAAAAGCGCTTACTAAACACACATATCGACGCTTTAAAGGTGAACGTGACTAAGCGATAATAACTGCTTTGTACATAAATGATAGGCAATAACCATATTCGATGCGCAAAAAATATATATTTCTAGGTCTATTAAAATCATTTCCATCCTACAGCTACTAGCTAGATTCCTTAAAATAGCGTGTCTTAGCCTAACATTTATAAATGACCATTAAATTTTTATTTGCTGTGAATTTAGCATTGTTTTTTTTTAAGTCAAAGTTTTAATAAGTTAGTTTTTTTCAAAATTCCTTTAGCAATTTCTGCAAAATATGTAAAAAAAAGGCTGAACAGTAATTAAACAATATTTTCATTAAAAAAAACAATTTAACTGTTTTTTAATTTTTGAATAAACTACTACTAATTGAATAAGAACTGTCTGATGAACTCATTTTTGTTTAATACTTCACTATTAAATTTTATTGCCTTTTGTTTATTTCACTTTTACACTAAACACAATATTGCAAATTACCCGAGCACAACAATGGCGGAGAATTTTAGGTGCGTTAGGGCAGACGTAGACACTAACGCGCATGCGCACTTGCCAGTACCCAGGGAGGAAAAGTTTGACTTTCTTCCCTGTAAAGCGGGAGGAAAACCGAACTTTCGTCGTAGGTAGGAGAAAAAAAAATTAACTTATAGACATAGCCCTACTGAGTTTCTCGCCGGATTTTCTCAGTGGGTCGCGATTCCGATCCGGTGGTAGATTCTGCGAAGCACTGCTCTTGCTGGGGCCAGTGTTTAGCAACACCTCCGGTTTGAGCCCCGAGAACTCACCTACACGCTAGGGTAAAGCTGAAATAGCGTCTCAAGGCTATCAGCATGGGTAGGAAAAAAACGACTTCACATAGCTTCAGCTGGTGGTAGAACCTTTTGTGAGTCCGCGCGGGTAGGTACCACCACCCCACATATTTCTTCCGTAAAGCAGTAATGCGTTTCGGTTTGAAGGGTGGGGCAGCCGTTGTAACTATACTTAAGACCTTAGAACTTGTATCTGAAGGTGGGTGGCGCATTTACGTCGTAGATGTCTATGGGCTCCAGTAACCACTTCACACAAGGTGGGCTGTGAGCTCGTCCACCCAACTAAGTAATAAAAAAAAAGCTAGTCGTAGTAGCTACTAGCTTCAAATAGCCTTATACCCCACGATATATTCACAACGTTTTCGTGTAACGTGTTGGCACTCACCAGTCACGATAGCCTTCAGAACGTCGATCTGCAGTTCGAAGACGCTCCTGTGCACGTACTGCGCGAAGGCGGGAAAGGGCAGAGTGCGGTAGCCGAGGTACGTGAAGAATGAAGTAAATCCTTGCGGCACAGGGAACGCTATGGAGTCGGTCGCCAGGTAGTACTGCTCTAAGACTTTGAACAGTATGTATGCGTGGTTAGGATCCATATCGTCACTGAAAGGAAAATGACTTTTTTTTTTCAAACAATAATGTAGTTCCACGTAAATAAAATCGATGTCGGCTTTGACGATTTTAAATGGAGCACCAAAAAAATAGACAAACAGTACCAATCTGTTAACTTAGACTTAGATCAGTAACTATTCATAGACTTTTTGTATTTTAAATAGCTCGGTCTATATTAAAACCACTTTTTGTGAGATATGAAATTAAAGTATCAAGTAAATAACCTTTGAACTCCCAACATGTAACCGCTTCATGGCTCAAACAACTACCCATAGTTAAGCAAATATAGCTTGATGCACGTGACAGCTGTCAAAGTGACGTTTCTAGTATAAGTAAAGAACAAATGAACTTCATTCGACTTATTCAAAATCATTCGATAATAGATTTTTTGGCACAGAATCAAACCTAGAGATGTATGTATGTAGCTCTGTCATTTTTCTCGCGTATTAAGCTATATTTAACACAGTGCTGCCCCACAAAGAACTAATGTGATAATGTAAAATTTAACGACAAACAAAAACATAAAAAAAGCTAAAACACACAGAAATCAAACTAAATAAGAAACAAAATCGCTTGGCACGGATCAACTTTGATGTACAAAAAAAAAGCTACACACAAGGCTAGATACAAAAAACCAAGTTGAAACAACACTAACGGTCAAAAAAGGAAAATCAAAACAGCTTCGTACTAAAACACAAACCACATTTAAATAAAAAGACCATTCAAAACAAAACACTTGAATAATAAAAGAAACACCATTTTTACGCACAGAAGCTGCATCAAAATAACGCATCAATCATTTAAAAGTACCACACGAACTAGATAGAGTGCGAAAAAAAGCAAAGCTAAAAAATAATAATCGCTTCTTTTTTAAGTCGATTACCAAGAAACCAAAACATTTCGAAGCAAAAAACACTGTCTCAATACTTTCATAGTTTAATCTCGTGTTTGTTTGTCAAAATAAAATGCATGTGATGAAAAAATAATTTAAATCCATTTTTTTATAAGATAATATTATAGCAAGGCGTTTTTTAAATATCGCTTCAAGTGCGTGCGCGGTGCGAACATCTTGTTATCTCACACCCGTACTTTCATAGCGGTTATGTTATGATATATATTATTATACGCTTCCATATTATTTATCAAAGACCATCGGCTTTAAAATGTTTTCAAGTTGTTTCTGTCAAGCAAAAAAATCTATCGAATTCGTAATGTATCGAGTCCTCGATACGAAAACTCGGTACTCGATAGCCAGTCTTCGAGATTTACGTTACCGTATGTCAAAACAATTTTCGCGCTCTCGATTATAAGTATAAATTTCGAGTTTCGAGAACGTGACGATTCGACTGCGAAACGAAATTAAATAAATGCATTCATGCTCGGTGCTGCTGAAATTAATTCTTTTTACGGACGATAGGGGCGCGGTTTAAATCCTAGACATTTTTTATCGATAACGATACAAATACTTTTTCGATAGTTATTCGCGCTCGTCCCTCTGATTTTATTTATACACTAAACACGAATTCGAAATTAAACCATGAGAGTGTTGTTGTTGGACGCACGACACGGGCAAGTTTCTGCAAGCGAACTGTTGAGGATCGACTGTTACATGAAAGTGAATCCGCGCTGCTGCTGGTGCGCGGGCACGGCGGCGAGCGCGCGGCACAGGGCCCGGCACAGCGCGCGCGCCGCGTCCAGCTGCGCCGCCGCCCAGCGCGTGGCGGCCGCGTGCACGCCGCCCTGCACGCCCGCCGCGCCGCCGCTCTCGCGCATCAGGTGCACGCTCACCTCGCGTAAGTTCTGTGCCACCAGTGTGCTTAGTGCGAGATTCTTAACGTTCTCGATAGCGTAAAACTAAAGCCAATTTTGTATGCAGTTGGAACAGCGCCCCTAGCGGCAAACGTACGCAAACGATCCCATTTCATACAAATATAAGCTAACTTTTACGCTATCGAGAACGTTAAAAAACACGCACTAAGCACACAGTACCGTCACTACCCGACCTAATGCGTCCGCTCGCTACGAGCTGTGACCCGCAGACTAGCGGATAACGATTCCTACAACTAGACACGCCGAGGAAGGGTTTCTAAGCGGCAGCAGAATCTTCTGGAAATTCTATAAACTGAACCCATATTGAAACGTTTGGATAGTTTTGGAGAAGCTTAACAACGGTGGGATGATCTTTCACCGAGCGGGTGACATTGCTCGGTAGACCGATGGTCCGAATGTTGTTATTCGGAACTTGCATATCCGAAGACTTATCTTGAAAATGTCGTACACACACAAATTTATCGGAACGAAACGTAAGCGGGCGTTAGTCGATGCGAGTAGGCTATGATTGAAGTCAGCGCGGTGCTGTGCGCGGACGACGACGTATCAGCCCGACGTCACAGCAAACCGGTCTTGGGTGCGAGTGTCCAATGTAGTCGACTGGTGCGCATCAACACGGCTGAAATTTGTGTCGGAATAAAATGTAATGTGGTGTATGTAAATGCGTACCAGTTGTGTGTAAGTGTATATTGTGGGAGTGGCCCACAATGTTTTTGTTTTTCTTTCGCGACCCTTATTAAGTGGTGATTATCGATGAGTACTTACCGCAGCCACTATATGCTCCTGTTTGCTGGCAGTGCACACGTCCAGTTCAAAGAATGGCAGCAAGTCCTGCCCGTTGCCCAGCGACGAGCGGCGCTGCGAGCCCAGCGCGGGCCCCGGGCCGCTCGGGGACAGCGGGGTGCTGCACCGAGACAACGCTTCCGGCTGAAATTCGTTATTATATATAGAATTTCGATGCTCTATTGCTGTCTATGGGCTCCTATGACCATTTAACACCGTGTAGGCCAGGTAATCTAAGAGAAAGTTATTAGAGGAGGCCACGACCCCCAGCATTGAGGATTATCGACGCAAGGAGGAGGCCTTGACATCCACGAGAGCAATAAAAGGAAAAAAAACTAAGATTTTGTGGAATACCTGGTAACAATGCAGGCTCACTCGCAGCTTATCGGTGACGACGGTCGGATGTAGACGGGTGACTGGCGGAGCGGACAGAGACGCCCAGACCCTCGTCCACACGTCCTCGGAGAACTGGCACACGCGCTGCCGAGGAGCCAGCACGACCGCGCTGCTGCTCCACAGCTTCTCCTGGCTCACCGACACGCACATGTCGCGAACCTGACAAAGGGAAACCTACATTTTGTAGGCAGACGAGCATACCGCCCACCTGACAGTAAGTGGTTACCGTCGCCCACAGAATTTACAAACGCCAGGGACAGAGTCGAGCCGCTGCCTACCCTCGCTTTCTTCTTATTTCAGTATTTATTCGTTTTAAATCAGCGTACCCTCACATCCTTCAATGATATTTCGGATGTTTGATTAACTACATTATTTTACACGAAACAGTAAACACCTTTTTTTCCCCTACCTACTCGCTAGTAGCTGTAGACTATTCCTGATTCGCCCGGACTGGTAGGTGCGCTCACGGGCTCTCAACCTACGAGAATTTGCTAACACTAACCCTAGCAAGAGCAGTGCTTCGCTGAATCTACCACCGAATCGAAATCGCGACTTATTGAGAATATCCGGCGAGAAGCTCAGTGGGCTATGTCTATGGGTTAGTTCGCTCGTCGAGCTCGTGGTCGTAATCGACATTATTTTAAGCGAAACAGTAAACATCATTAAAAATCAATGTCCTTAAAACAGCATCATAATTAGTTGCAAGAACAGTCGCAGTCCACACAACCGGCTACGTACCCACTTTGGCCGCCCACTTTAATCAAAATCATTTAAAAAATGGTAGTAATCTAGTCACCTAACTCGCATAATAAGGTTCCGTATATTGTACTTAATATTCCGGTAACTAATTATAAGTACTAGTGATCTCGCAGTAGTCGAAATTCGACTATAATTAATTGGAATTGTAAGTTTGTACACTATTATGATTGTATTTTATACTTCTTTAATCACAAATTTCACCAAGACTTCACTATAAAAAATATTAAAAAAGACAAACAATATTTAATCTATTCTCAATTTGACAACAGACGTCAAGAACAAAAGTTTGACAATAAATAGGATGCATTCGTGTGTGCGTCAAATACATGGTATGTAGTGTGTGTAATGTTTTCTTTATCGATTTAATGTATCTTTTATGCATTATTTTAAAAAAATATTAGCATTGTGCACTTCTTCTCTATATTATTTATAATTGTGGAAAATTTCATACACCTCCGTCCGCGCAATTTTCGTAAAAAGGGATACAAAGTTTTTGCTTCACGTATTAATATATAGTAAGTATTACTTATTCTATTGGGGATAACAATACTGTTTTATTGCCCTTGTAGGCAGACGAGCATACGACCCACCTGATGGTGAATGGCTACCATCGCCCATGAACGTCAGCAACGTCAGGGGCACAACGAAGCGACACCGGCTTCGTTCACAGAACTATCTAGATCATAGTTGAAATCGTCCACAAGAACGTTGGGGAAGGTTTGATTGCGTTCTAGTGTAGGGTGGGGCGTATATGAGCGGCAATATGGAAGTTAGGCGAAAGACTGCGAAGCGTGAAAAATAACACAATTTGATCCAAGCCGAAAAATAAAGTACAACTTAATGTTTGAATATCCGCCAATATTCATATATTTGTGAAAACTGAACAATATTCTGTAAATTGTGATGGGAATTTTATTATTTTGATTATCCCAGAACTGGCAACAAAAGCATTTTTAGTTAAAAGCCCAGAAGCACACCTCGTAGCAACGCCTTTCTAATTTTAATGCTATTATAACTTATTGATAAACTTTCAACGTCTCGTATTCTCCCTATCTTTTAACTCTGGCCTTCCATTACGTGGATGCTATTCCATCGCTCGCTGATTGGTTACTTGACTGCAAATGTATATACATTACCTTGACATCAGAAAACTTTAAGTGCAGCATGAATGGAAGCATCTTCATGAGTCCCAGTGCGGAAGAGGGTAGCGAGCGTCGTGTGACCGCGCACGTGGTCGCCACCAGGTACTCTTGCATGACGCGCTGGAACGAGCCCAGCCCGCCGCGCTGATTCAGGCACATCCACGATATCAGCTGTTCAACATTCATCATCATCATCATCATCATCATTACTGCGATTAACGTACTCGTGGCATATCGTGCGAAGCGCTTACCGAAGCCCATAGACACCTACCACCTGAATTTGTCGTAGCCTAAAGGATAAGAAGTCTGGTGCATTTGTATGTAGCGATGCAACGGTGTCCGAATCCCGCACGCGGGTACCAATTTAAAAAAAATATTATTGCTTATATGTGTGGACGAACTCACAGCCCACCTGATGTTAAGTGGTTACTGGAGCCCATAGACATCTGCGAAGTAAATGCGCCACCCACCTTGAGATATCAGTTCTAAGGTCTCAGTGTAGTTACAACGACTGCCCCGCCCTACAAACCTGCTGGTTTACTGGTGGTAGGACCTCTTGTGAGTCGAGTCCGCACGGGTAGGTACCACCGCCCCGCCTATTTCTGCCGTGAAGCAGTAATGCGTTTCGGTTTGAAGGGTTTTATGACCCAAACTACACGGACAAAATAATTCTACTATAGTCGATTTGCAAATGCATCAGTACTTATTCATAGTGTCGTATTTATTATGGCGGATATGTCCGACATTGCCCGGGCCGTATCATGTTTGCCACGATAAAATAACTTGTTTTAAATCAATCCAAATAGTTTCGTGTGACTGAAGAGCAAAAAGCCTTTTAAAATGTATATTGATATATTAAAATATCTAACAACAAAAACATCATAGTTTTACGATTCCAAAAATTCCTCTAACTCAATTAGCACTGTGCCTCGATTTTCAAAGATCTCTATTGATACGGAACGTCACATAACAGTTGTTATCGATGGGAAGGGGAAAATAAAAATGCCAATGTAATGAAACTTAAGTCATCGACGCGAGTCAAGGAAATATTCTATGAACAGTTTTTCTGTTGCCACCTGAAGCTCCTATTCACTTTACACTTTTTTTTTTAGTACAACGGTAAATGGAAACGATTATTAACAGCCATATACTTTTTGATGGTATTCAATGATTATATACATAAAAACAATGCTCACTGTTTTTTTGTTATTCCACTATAATTATGTAGGTTTTTTATGCACACATTTTTTGTTTAGCTTGTAAATTTATTAAGAGTAGTTTGTAACTAGAAAACAGAGTTACCTCTTCAGCCAATTCCATATTGTTCTCGTGCTGCACCAAGTAATGTATGATGGCCAGTTTATTTTCTATGGCCGTGTTGCTCTTGAACGTCGCGGTCAAATCCTTTTCAGGGATGACCATGGCCACCACGTCCAGAGTATTGAGGTCGACCATAGCATGCTGACCCCAGCCCAGCAGGGGCGCGAGGCTGGGCCCGCTATCACACTCGTCCACCGGCAGGACGATGTGACAGCACGGCTCGTGGTGGAGGCTGATGTCTATCAGATGCGTGTACAGCATCGGTATATTCACCAAAAGATGATTTTCTGTGAAAAACAATCAAGGATTACGTGTAACTATACTGAGACCTTAGAACTTATATCTCCAGGTGGGTGGCGGATTTACGTTGTAGATGTCTATGGGCTCCAGTCACCACTTAACACCAGGTGGGCTGTGAGCTCGTCCACCGATAATTAAATAAAATCACTACAATATTTAAATTTCAAAAATATCTAAAATCTATACAACTTCGATCAATCAATTCAACTTGAAATTGAAATGCTAGTTGCGGGGATGATAATTGAATAAAATCACAAAAATATTTAAACATCAAAAATATCTAAAATCTATCCTATTGGTCAATTCAACTTGAAATTTTCACCAAAAATATTCGATCCATAATTATTGGCATCAAATAGCGGTACAGTTCATTATGTTGAACGAAAAAAATTGGTATATTGTATAGACGAGTAAACAAAATGGTGTTGAGTGGTTACCGGAGCCCATAGATAGCAAAATGAGAATGCACCACCCACTTTGAGACTTGTGGTCTATGTCTCAATTTTATAGTCATTACGAAAATTATTCTTCTTCTTTTTAGCGGGTCGATTTTTATGTTTATGTTTTTTCTTTATCGTTGAAGTCATTCGCTAACATTTGCTAAAGACCTAAACCTAAACCTGCCTGCGGGATTCTAACATCGGCACTGTCGCATCGATCGATACGAGTGCACCGGGCGTCTTAACCTTTAGGCCACGACTACTTCAAAACATTAAGCAATGCGCATTAAATGGCACTATTCTATAATCCATGGACTGCTTTTCGCACGAATGTGACAATACTAAAGGAGCTTAATGTTAAAACTAGACTCCACAATATGCATTCATAGAGTATTGGAGTTCTTAGGACACATTGCTCGAAAGGAGGGTCGTAACCTTGAGCAGCTGATGGTGACGAGCAAGACAGAGGGCAAACGTCCCAGAGGACGCAGTCCCACGAGATGGTCGGACCAAATTCGGTCTTGTCTGGACATCAGGCTCCACGATGCCCTCCACGAGGCCAAGGATCGCAGCAGATGGAGAACAATCGTACAAGAGAGATTGATGAAGCGGGGGAGTCACGACCCTCAGTAATGAGGAGAACGACGCAAGGAGGAGTATTCTATAATAGTCTAGCTTGATTCACTTGTTCCCTTAGAATAAATTACTTTGATAATTTGTATATGGAAAGTTTAAGGAAATATAAATATACTAACCATACTCGCCCGCTTCGCTGGGCATTTAAAATAATATGATTATTTATTGTCATTATTATTAAAAAGTCCAACACTCATATAAATATTAGCCTATCCATTAAGTATATGTATTTTCTACATGGATACCATGTTTCAAGTAAATCGGATGTATGGTTCACTAGTTATAACGAAACATCCGTAAAAACCACTGTATATTTATATATTAGTATAGATCTACCTTCGTATAAAGTGTAAGATGGGCGTAACGACTTGGCCAAGACCCAGGGCAGGTCCGGCACTACAGTGTGCACTACGCAGCCGTGATGCAGCAGGGTTATCGAATACGCGAAGTTGACTCCGGAGTCCTTCAGGTCCGTGCTGTCTTCCAGCACTAGGGATGTGGCGGAATCGTCTAGGGGCTGTCAGATTATAATTATTATTGTAGACTTTTTATACCTATTCAACTTATTTTATTATTACCAGCGGTTTCGCCCACGTGGTCAAGGAAAAGTAGTCACGTATTTTTTTAAAGTTAATAAGGGGGTTCTAGGAAATTACAGAGAGTAATATCTTAAATTATTTAAAATTGTTGACCTTATAAACGTTAGCTGTAAAAAAAACTCTATGGTATTAGGTTTTTAATAATTTATATGTCTTTTTTAAATAAATTTTATTTAAATGAATTAAAAAAAGTTTATTAATTCAATGTGATGTTTTTATTTGTAATCCCATCGGTTGATCGGTCGGAAGTGTTAATATTTGATGTCAAGATGAATAAGGCCGTCTAATAGAAATCAAAATGCCGCTATCCACCCCACGACAGAGTGAAGTGTTACCATGCAGTGGATTCATTCACCACCTTTGTCTATAAAACACTTAGCCTGTGTATATCCTTACATATAATATTAAAATCAATAATTGCGGGTTTGTTTGTTTGTGTACGTAGCATGTGCAATTCTTTTATCAGAATGAATTTAAAGTATCAGTTCATTCGGCATTTCAGATAAGGTGACTGTTGCAGTACTAACAAGGCAGCCACAGTCCGCGAAAACAGTAATTATGTTAATGGGACTTCATTTAATATTTAGCAAGTCAATAATCAGTCAAGGGTTGATGATAGCTTTGACATATCTCCTTACGTTTTTCCATTACTTAACTGGTCGACAACGCTACTTAATTTTCAGTTTTTTAGAAATAGGCAAAGGGAAGATCTTCCAACGAGCTGATGAATTTGCTCGGCAGACCGACAGCCCCAATATTGTTGTTCAGAATTTATGTGGAGGCTCATCATGAGAATGACATTAGCGTGATTCATTTATTTATTTATTTAAAAAAGTACTGCCACATCACAAACATTTAACATTGAAAATAACTTAAACTATTTAATTTATGGCCTGATGCATGTGACAATAATGGCGTACCTACATAAGATTGGCAATTCATCGGCTCGAAGATGGAACACTCGTACAATAATAAAAATAAAAAGAATACCTAATGAAAACATACTTTGGAATTCAAATTTAACAAGTAAAACAGTAATAATTGTTGAAATATTAATATGAATGTCTAATAAATGTCATATATTAAAAAAGAAAAGAAGAAATGTCAATACAATATCAAGCATACATCAAACACTATTATTGTGTACCTTGTACAAGTAGTGATGACAGATGCACAATACGCCCCGCTGGTCGCACACGATCTGCAAGTCGAGGCTGCAGTCGTGGACGCGTAGTGGTATAGGATCGTCCTCGTAAGCCCCGCAAGCGGCCCCCTCCGCCGAACTCGATACGTGAGGCAGACTTAGGGGGATGTTCACCTTGTTCAAACATCGGTAGCATCACTACATAGTATAAAACAAAGTCACTTTCTCTGTCCCTATATCCCTAAGTATGCTTAAATCTTTAAAACTACGCATCGGATTTGGATGCGGTTTTTTTAATAGAGTGATTGAAGAGGAAGGTTTATATGTATAATAACATCCATTAAATAGTGGAAAAATCAATAATAAATTACAATTTCCGAAGCGAAGCGAGGGCGGGTTGCTAGTTCATTATATTTAACAATAAAAATCCGACGCGGAATTCATAACATTGATCTGAAACACACTTACGACAGTCTCGTGCGGGAGATCGGCGTGGAACTGTAGAGCGGATAGAGTGGGCGTAATTTCTGAAGGAGATTTCACCTCCTCGCCCTCAGCGAAGCTCTGCGATGCTTGTCGAAAATGTATGTGGTACAAAACCTAAACGTAATAACTCGGTTGAACGGGAAACATAATGTTATTGAATCGTAATTCAGTATGTGGGTATATAGACGAAGTTTTTCCACGGCTGGCTGCTCGGATCGAGGGTCTCTATAGATTGATTCTAAAGTCTAAGTTACGTTAAACCAAAAGCACTTTTATGTTCGGTCTGGTTCGTTCACTCTATATTGTCAGTACAGGATGTAAGGTTATCTTCTCCGCGCCGATATTAATAACCTAAACATTATGCCCTTGTTGTTTTACTTAATTCATATTCATCATACTGTTGTTCCTTCACCGTGGAAGTTAATCGTGAACATTTGTTAAGTACGTATTTCATCAGAAAAATTGGTACCCGCCTGCGGGATTTGGACACTGTTGCATCGCTAGATACGAATGTACCGGACGTCTTATCCTTTAGGCCACGACGACTTCGACTTCGTTCACTGTGACCAGTGCGTTCTTGTAACATATATTCAATGTTTTTTGGTATGCTTGCCATGCTGGTCTGGTTACTATATACACTTTTATTATTGCTTTTTTGGGCAGACGTGCGTTCTGACCGGCTTATGGTGAGTGTTCACTATTAATCATGGATATCAGCAATGCCAGAGGCAAAACTATGCCCTGCAGTCATGCTTAGGAATCATTTAAGCATAGTTTGAAGAAAGACATGAGTGGGACACTTGTGAAACAGAAATGAACTAGAATACTGACACTAACTAAATAAACTTCAAAATGATGAGGTACCTATACTGCAAGAGGAATAATCAACCATTAGGTCTGAGTTGACTACTATAATGCTTTCGTCCATACCACTTCTACTTAGAAATTCTATTCTCTCCTTAAATCCTTGGACTATCTCCATGTTAAAGTTATTTGTTGTAATTGAGTCGTCTATTATCAAAGGTGGCAATCTGTGCATTTAGACAAAAAAATGTTATTGATATGTCAATACAGATTGATTTGAATATAATCGTCTCCTTCAAAGAATACGGTTCAAAACCTGCATTAAATAAAGGTTAATAGTTAACCTGTTATTTATGTAAGATGTCGTTCAGAAGAGTTTTGTGACTGCCAATGGAATACAAAGTCAATAATTCGTTTTTCTGATTTACCAAAATTGTCCAAAAGTCACATTGCCGGCTTTGATAATAGTCGACTCAATTAACCTGAGCCTATTCTGGACAATGGACTCATGTATGGTCCAGGGCTTATATAAATGCACCTAAAAAGCGGACCCTATGACTAAGAATTTCCAATAGGGGTCGCAGTACCCTATAATACTATGAAAACACTGTTGCTCATTCACCTTTGAATATATTTTTTTCCTACGTAAGCTGATAGCCTTGGGAGGCTATTTCAGCGTAACCTTAACTAGTAGGTGAGCTCACGGGACTCAAACCGGAGTGATGCTAACACTGACCCTAGCAAGAGCAGTGCTTCGCAGAATCTACGACCGAATCGGAAACGCGACCCACTGAGAAGATCCAGCGAGAAACGCAGTGGGTTAATTCGCTCGTCGAGGCCTTCGTCGCAAGCGACGGGTTCGACGAGGACGGTGACCGGGGTGTGAATAGCTTTACACAGAGAGACAAGAGGCATTGTAACATTCATAGGTCATTGTTAGACAGCAGTTTAGCTATACCTCTGGTATTGCTGACGGTCATCAGCCACGGTGAAGACCAATCACCATTAAATGGGACGTATCCTCTGCCTACAGCATCAATAATAATAAAACTGTATAAATAAAGCGGGCTTTATTTGCAATGAACAACCTGAAGCTAATATAAAGTTCAACGACAAAACCAAGACCTTAGGTACCTACTTAATAAAAATTAATAAAATATGACAATGCACACAATGACGCTAATATTCCAGCACTACATAAAAGTGACATAGGCATTTTAATATTTTGATAATTCTATTCTATTCTATTATATTCTATTCGATTCTATTATGAGATATCTAAATGTTATATCATAAGAACTGTTCACGATTGACTTCCACGGTGAAGGAATAACATCGTGTAATAAAAATCAAACCCGCAAAATTATAATTTGCGTATTTACTGGTGGTAGCACCTCTTGTGAGTCCGCACGGATAGGTACCACCGCCCCGCCTATTTCTGCCGTGAAGCAGTAATGCGTTTCGGTTTGAAGGGTGGGGCAGCCGTTGTAACTATACTGAGACCTTAGAACTTATATCTCAAGGTGTGTGGCGCATTTACATTGTAGATGTCTATGGGTTCCAGTAACCACTTAACACCAGGTGGGCTGTGAGCTCGTCCACACATCTAGGCAATAAAAAATAAAAAATCAAATATTTTTGCCTTTAATCATGAATGCAAAAACTTTTTTGTCTTTGTTCTTTAGTACTTATTGACGAGCTTAAGTGTTACCTATATTTTTTAAATTGCATGCAGTTTTATAATAAATTATCAAAAACTTATCTAAATAGAAAATGCAATAGAAAAAATGCATTTAAATCTAGAGGGTAACACTTGGTTTAGGTTGAATTTCAACCACTGGATGAAAGTCAGTACCTATTATAAAATGTATAAGTACTATGACAGTACCACACGGTTATTAAAATATGGGCACGTTTATAATAGAATACAATCAAATTTGTATGAGTTGGGGAAGCATTTGATCGTGGAACAGATGCAATAAGCGCTCTAGGGGCCGAATTCCAACACGATGGTGTAAAGTATTGTAGAGACAACAGGAGAAACTCTACATCCGTCCGTATTGAACTGGCGCGGGACAGATGTAAATGGAGACAAATCATACATACAATACATACTCTCAATCCTCATTAGTCAGGGAATCTTAAAGAAGACGAATAGCGTAAGCTTTACTAACCTTCAGAATACGTAACAGTCACATTTCTCAGAAGAAACGGAATAAAAAGTCTGATTGAATATTTACCTGATTAACACAATCCCACTGAGCCCAGGAAAAAACTTTTACAACGGTTTCCGGTTCAGGATATATGCCATCAAAGCCCCATTTCTCTGTTCCATCGTCATATTCATTTAGAAACATTGGCGTGCGATATATTTTTATGTCTGAAATATGATATTATAAAGTATTAGATTTGTTTTATTACGTGAAATCATACAGTTTTGGACAGAGACTTATGCAAAAACTACTTTAAAATTATATTATGAATTGCTGTGAATGTTATATTCATATGGTTGGTAGCCTGTTTGCAATCTCATCAAACAAAAAAATGGCACTGACAACAATCATTTCTAATCCACTTGTGTTCTGAAGGGAGTTAATAACATGTGTCATTATCCAGCAGTTCATTTACTACAGATAGGAAGTAATTATTTTAACACAGACACTAGCACTGTTCAAAATAGGATATTAGTATAGCTTAGATATAAGCGATACAAGCTTTAGATATGAGTATAGCTAAGATAGTCTATATCCGTTGCACTGTTATTTTACAAATATGTTTTGAAACGGTTGCATTTATTTTATAGTACTCGAATTTGAAATGCATCATACACTTAATTACTGAACCAGGTTTTTTTTTTTTTTTTTTTTTTTTTTTTTTTTATTGCTTAGATGGATGGACGAGCTCACAGCCCACCTGGTGTTAAGTGGTTACTGGAGCCCATAGACAACGTAAATGCGCCACCCACCTCGAGATCCAAGTTCTAAGGTCTCAGTATAGTTACAACGGCTACCCCACCCTTCGAACCGAAACGCATTACTGCTTCACGGCGGAAATAGGCGGGGTGGTGGTACCTACCCGTGCGGACTCACAAGAGATCCTACCACCAGTGATTACGCAAATTACAATTTTGCGGGTTTGGTTTTTATTACACGATGTTATTCCTTCACCGTGGAAGTCAATCGTGAACATTTGTTGAGTACGTATTTCATTAGAAAAATTGGTACCCGCCTGCGGGATTCGAACACCGGTGCATCGCTACATACGAATGCACCGGACGTCTTATCCTTTAGGCCACGACGACAATAAAATTATTATATTGAAATAAATAAGTGACTTACAGTACAGTTTTACTGTACCAAGACATTTTAGATAGAGCTAGCTGTTAAACTTATTCACTATTAAGCACAATATATATTTTTAATCTATTACTTATTCTTAAACAAACTCACATTCCAAATGTTTGAACAGCAGGAATCTGTCATTTCTTATACCAGGGCTGTATTTATTACTCTTCCCGTATATATATTGTACCATTATTTGTTTTGTAGAGCTATCTTCAATTTGTTCACTGACTCTTTCTTTGTCAGGAAGTAAACACATTAAATAAGCACAGTACAAAGGCTCTTTTGCCTCAGCATCATCAGTTGGAAGTTTCTTGACAACATATGCTAAAAGACTTTGTGTCGCATTCACTGAAGCTTGTATGATATTAGTTTTCTTGTCAAATGTGTGTAGAATAGTCAGAGATTTGGTTTTATTTACATATATGCCAATGTTGAGGACCTCCGCATTATTTTTTGTATTTGAAAGCCAAGTAAGAAGTTGTGAACCATCTTGTTCTTGTCCTAAAAGACGCCACTCTCGTGCTGTAATTTCTGAAAAGCATTTTTCTCGATTTACATATATTTAGAGGATGCCTGTTGCTCTAACTGCCTTTTTTTCGTAAAATCATTTATTTTTTTGTAGTTAATAGTTTCATTTATATATAAATAAAATAATGTTGTCTGGAATTACAGCATTAGAACTACATATAGTGAATTTGAAAATATTATTAATAAATGTTTAAATTTATTTGACCAATTAACACAAGTAAAGTATGTAAGTATGTAATTAGAAACCATTTTAAGGCCAGCCAACCTGCAGTCGACAATATTTTTAACTAAAGCGTCAGGCCCGATTGAGATAGCAATCCATAACGCAAAGCTTCAACATACCCTCCTCACTTGCTGCCTGAAGTATTCCACACAATTTCACCGCAATATTTTGAACAGCCATTTTAAAATAGTTTTTTTCAATTTCACCTGTTACATTTACAAATAATAACAACAGTTCATCATATCGCCACGTTATCAATTGAATCAACGCACCTTTATTGACTTTTCTCGCTCATTTTCCATCAGCTGGCGCCCAGCTGTTAATGTGGTCTGAAGTTAGGATTATGCTTTTTGCCAACAAAAAGAAAATAATTTTAATACGACTTTGTTGGTATTCCTGTATCACTACAGACACAAACTGTCCAATCAAAAAGAAGCGTTGATTTTGGATCTACATTTCGTTTCACTCGAAAAAAATTAGATGAAGAATTAACAATAAAGATTTTTAACCTTGATTCATTCCACGGAATATCTAAAATTGAAAAAAGGTTCTGCAGTGCAAACAAGCTTTTAAAAAAATCTATTTAGCCTTTCCATTTGTCTATTAAAAAAATCTAAAAATTAATATTTTTAAATATTAAAAGTGTTCACGAAATGAATGAGTTTTCAATAATTTTCAAACCAATTAAGACCGTAGAAAATATGTGAACTAAAAATGAATCAAACCTTTTCTTTATTTCGAATTAGTCTTGGAACGGAAATACACAAAAATGTTATGCGTGCAACGAAACGTATTATTTCAGTGACGTACATTTTCAGAAGAAACAATCATGAAGCTAGCCAATGTTAACCCCGTTGGGCTCCTAAGTTTTACCGCGACATTTTCGCGCGGAAGCCGGGCGTTATCGAGCCGTGAAAACCTGAAAAGTGCTATGTGTAAGCAGAAAATCATCTGATCTGCAACCTTTTTACCTACATTTGGCTAACTTACGACCACGGACGCGAATGTTTCGGAATAAACTAAACTAATAGTGTCTTAAATTGACATTCCATATCTGGTGCATGAAGAAATTTAGTTTTGTGTAAATTAAATCAATTTGTGAATGATCAGGTATGTACTGAGTTATTTTTTAGCAACCCAAGTATATAAGGAATCGAATTAAGATACGGTATCTACTGTAATTTTTAGACTTTCTTTACAAATTAGGTTATAAACTACTGTGGGCGATAAGCCAAGCCAATTAGATTGTCAACTATTAGGCTCCCTAAATTGCCTCAAATTCGGTTTTTAAAGTAGTATTTTAGACGAATTTTAATAACAAGATAATATAGTGTCACGTTTAAGCTATTTTTATCAATTTCCTTATGTGGATTGGGCGAGAAACCCAAGCTTGCGACGTGTCTAATGGCGCTGACGGAATGATTTCGCGCGCGAATATGACGGTTTCGTGGCATTTTTTGGAGCAGCTGATCGATTTATTTTTACTTTTCTTTAATATGAAATGATACATTAGCCTTTCTGCTGACTATATAACACAAAAATACACACATAATAATGTTAAATCCACGAGATATTGTCCTCTAAAAAAAATTCTCCCGCCAACCAGCAGGGGGCACGCTGCAGAAACACACACTCATTTCTCATACAATATGCATTAATATGCCTTTATTTGCGTCTTTGGAAGTATCCTGAAGGATCCCTGATAAATAAGATAATTTATTAAGTACGATAATTTGCTAATTATGGCCTCAATACGGTTGTCAAGTGACATAACCCTATTTGCAACTTGAACATGACATGCGGTAATTTTAGACAGTATAATTCTAATTTGGACCTTCGAATGTAAGATGTCGATCTGGATATTGAAACTTTGTTTTATTTCAGGCTGAAAAAATAGTACTACATCCCAACTGTCTCTTCCAATATGGCTGAATCTGGGTATGTACTTACTCCATTCTTTAATCACATAGAAATAGCTAGCTTAAAGTTTGGGTGCATATTGACTGTTGTTGACCCTATTTTACAGGTCTCCCTCTGAAGCCAGTGAAAAGCGCATGACCTTAAAACGTAAAAGAAGCTCTTCTGATGATGAGGTGTGTACATTTTCAACACAATAAATGCTTTTCAGTTGAACCTATACTTATATTTACATGTTTACTCTTTTAGTTAGAAAACCAGCCTCCACAGAAGATAGCCTCAACCCTTGATGAACAATTATGTGATCAACCAGCGCTTCATGTTGTGGTAGAATCATCATCATGCTCAAGCGATGATGAAGGCTCTCAATATGGGAACAGTGATCAACCAAGGAGTGTTTATACAGACATTGACTACAACCCTGACAGCTTTCTGAGCCCACCTAGTGTTTCTGATCTACCCAACAGCGTACTGAGTCCCTTAGAAAATGTGGCCAGAGGCGAGTCCACCCCACACTCTAATAAAAGGGCTAAGTGAGTAGATTTTCTGATCTGAATTATTTTTGAACTATCTTAATAATATCAAGGCCCCAAACATTATCTTGTGATGACTAAGCTCTTATATTATTTGCCTATAAACAAAAGAAAAAAGTTTATCACTGTGGGATTTGCCAAATACACATCATCTGTCAGTTTCTGAATTTGCATTGTAACTAAACAAAACTTTTACTTAGTTGAACTGTTTCAGTGCTAGTAAGCCTCCATGCCCTACACCTCCAAAACGCAAATGTCCCTTGCCTGGATTGTCTTGGGCTGATCCTGCTGATGTCTGGAACAGCATGTGCGAGTGTGATGCCAGGTCCAGCAAGAAGAAGAACCCTAACATGTTTGACAATCATCCTAATCTTCAGCCCCGGATGAGAGCTATTTTACTGGACTGGCTAAATGAGGTAAGTCAACATAATATGATATAAAGGGTGAGGGGCTTTGTTTACGAATATTAATGGATAATTTATGGATCAGGATTTACCAAGTCTGGCTGTCAGATATCCATTTGTTAAGTAGAAATGTAATTTGGCAATGAATATTATATAAAAATAGGAGTGATAATACAGAAAATAAAATCTTCCAATTTTAACCTTACATAACTACATATGTCTAGATGAAACTCGTGCATTAAAAAAAAGTTGTCTTGCACTCATAATGTTGACAGGCAACTTCAACTTTTTTTTTTTTCATGAAAGATTTTACTGTTAGCTACTGCAGTGTTTTTTAGGAAATAGGTATTCAAAAAAAAAATTGAAATTAGAACCTCTTCTTTATTTTATTTATTGTAAAATGTTTCATGCTGCCCCATAGTGGTTTTTGACATAAAAAGGTAAGTCATAATGTTACAGTTTTTTATTTACAATTGGTATATATGGAAAGTGATGTAATATAAGGTCAATGACCCGTTTTTTGCTGTGTTCATTGAACTTTAAGCCAATGCGATTTCAATATGGTTCAGTTAACCATGTTTCAGTTGTTTTTTTTTTTATATATTTAAGTGCAAATTACAAGTTTATAACCTCACACATTTTTAGGTTTTATGCTACGATTATAAGCGTAAATGTGACGTCATAAATAGTATGTTTGTAGTTGACATTTCGAATTGTCTAGAATAAGTCGCCCTGCACCATTGCGATAGCCGACAACATTGAATCAGAAAGAAAAAAAATCTCGTTCCAAAAATAGAAACTTGCCCTCTCCTGGCTCACGCCATTGCTCTAATTATTAACTCTTAGTGATTTTGTTTAAAAATTAACTAACTATTCTAAATCGCCTTATTTAATAGTATATATGACTGACAATTATGTGATAATATACTAATAATATAATATCTTTTGAAAGGAAGGACGCGTAGTACACGTCTCTTGTTGAGACTTCCGCATTATTCGTTCGAAATGCACGTCATTCTTTTAAGAACTTTTGATCAGGAACGCGGTTGTATCAGTTGGAAATAAAGAGGAAATAAAAAAACTGAAATCAGAATCAGAACCCCGAAGTCGAAGTCGTCGTGGCCTAAGGGATAAGACGTCCGGTGCATTCGTGTTGAGCGATGCACCGGTGTTCGAATCTAAAGCGGGTACCAATTTTTCTAATGAAATACGTACTCAACAAATGTTCACGATTGACTTCCACGGTAAAGGAATAACATCGTGTATAAATTATAATTAGCGTAATTACTGGTGGTAGGACCTCTTGTGAGTCCGCGCGGGTGGGTGCCGCCACCCTGTCTGTTTCTGCTGTTTCTGCCGTGAAGCAGGTTTCGGTTTGAAGGATAGGGCAACCATAGTAACTATACTTGAGACCTTAGAACTTATATCTCAAGGTGGGTGGTTCATTTACGTCGTAGATGTCTATGGGTTCCAGTAACCACTTAACACCAGGTAGGCTGTGAGTACGTCCACCCATCTAAGCAAGTTTGTTAGGTATGATGCGTCCATGGTCTAATAAGTAACGAAGTGCGGTATAACCGCGTAGTTCTAAGACTAGTAGTTACTTGTCTATCAGTTGGTAGGAAATGGGATTACCCAGCTAATCTGAGCCATTTCACCCGAGGTACATCTAACCAAACTCGGGCGTTTGATGGTATGGATAATATATTTTAGTTTGCTCAAGTGGTCTGGATGCGGTTCTGGCCTTGTCGGCCTAGTGGTGGTAGGTCGTCTTGTGAGTCTGCACGGGTGGGTACCACCACCCTACCTATTTTTGCCGTAAAGCAGTAATGCGTTTCGGTTTGAACGGTGGGGCAGTCGTTGTACTGTTAAAACAGACCTTACAACTCATCTCTCGAGGTGGGTGGCGGCATTTACGTTGTAGATGTCTATGGGCTGCGATTACCGTTTAAAACCAGGTGGGTCGTGATCTCGCTAACCCATCAAGGCTATAATAGCAATAAGCCTTAATGGACGACGCCAACTATTTACCACAATGTGGAATGTTTGCGCTGTGGCCATCGACTATAATAAATACATCTTCCGATACTTCAGGGCTGTAACTTAAATACATTGATAATTGATCCTTATTTAAATTCTACCCATTTAACCCGTACTTTTAATAACTTCGCTTCAGTCATGAGCGGGACATTCTGTCAATAACGTACTCTATCATCTTCCTCGCGTATTCAGTTCTGGTTTTGTTTTTTCTTCTTACATCGTACAGAGTGTTCTTCAATTGAATACGCTCCGTCTCGGCGGCATCAGGATCGCTACTGAGTACTGTTTGTTAAGGGTTCGGTTCGGCAATTGTTCTGAGAAAAAATAGCACGTTCATCTCAAAGCATTGTGTGATAAGAAGTGTATAAAAAAATTAAGTACATTTATTATTTTAAAATAATGTCCATTTATATATACAAGTGGTCCCGGAGTAGTGGAAATTCGACTATAATTCATTGAAATTATAAATTTGTACACTATTATGATTATATGGTCAAATACTATTTATTATACTTCTATTATCTCACATTTCGCCAAGACTGGAAGGACAAATAGTTTTAAAGATAAACAATATTAACCTATTCTCAATTTGACCACAGACTTTAAGCAATAACAAAAGTTTGACAATAAACCAAGAGTTTATTTATATGTATGTGTACCAAATATATGGTAGTGTGTGTAATGTTTTTTTTTATTGATTTAATGTATTATTAATGCATTATTATAAAAAAAAATATTACCATTCTGCACTCCTTCTCTATATTCTCTATATAAGTGTTGGAAATTTCATACTCTTCCGTCCGCGTAATTTTCGTAAAAAGGGGTACAAAGTTTTTGCTTCGCGTATTAATATAGGTATATTATGTATATGTGTGTGTTTCGTGCGTGTATTGTGTAGCGTATTTGCGTATTGATTGCATAACAATAATAAATGCAACAGTCTCGCTAATGCACCTACTATTACTATCTTTACACTACCTTTAGTTGTTTGACAAACGAGTATAATGTATTACGCATTAAATCCGTAAATAAAAGTACGTGCAATAAAAAAAGAAAGGTGGTGTAATTTACGGTAATCGTCTTTAACTTTCACAAGAATCTCAAGTTTTTAAAGTCGTCCGAGTTCAAGCTTCTGGTGAGGCAGCACGGGTGGATACAGCAACCCTGTCTTTTCTGACCGCGAAGCCATCAAGCGTTCTAAGTGGAAGGGTAGGAGAACCGTTACCATGTAATTTTGACCTTATGCCCGAAGGTGGGTAGGGCGAAATTTAAATTGTGCGATTGACTGCGAAAACCACTTGACACAAGCTTTGAGTATGCCGCGATCTGGTTTGAATTTACGGGACATTTGAAACCTTTATCTTTAGTACGGAAGTAATTTGTTGTTCTGCACGCCCAATGGTACTGAGAGTGCTCTGGTCGTTTGAGATGACCCCTTTGTTTCGTTTACAACCATAACTCCCGCCACCGCTGCAGAATCCACCTTGTACCACCACCACGTCTACTCGGTACCACTGCGCTCACTACAGTGCCTTTCGAAATGATTTTGCTATGTGCTCAGGAACTCCATGAGATGCCTTTCAACAAATTTATAATACTTAATGTTAGACCGCGGTTCAGGTAACGGGGTACTTAGAAAGCAGAATGTCTTCGAAGAGTTTAGGAAGGTTTTATTTAAACCTTAAAATTTATTTCAATATTTTGCACTTTTTCAACTACCCATATATCGAGGGGTGAAAGGTTATTTGGTTTAAGCCACATTTCGCTAAATACGCGACATTTATCTTTGTAATTAAAGGTGCATTTTCTTTGGTATTAGCATCAACAGTTCGATCTTTTTACTTGAACTGCAATTAAGTTTACTCCTTTGGAATGACTGAAGAAGTTCTTTCGTTGTGATATTTTTTTCCATGTTTTATACTTTAAATGAATCCTGTAAAGTTGCAAAAATGTTGCTTATAACAAATAACCTCTCACCCCTCAATATTTAAAACATGTTTGCTTGAATTCGAAAGTCAAAGCCCACTGAAATTCTCGCCGGATCTTCTCAGTGGGTCGCGTTTCCGATCCGTTGGTAGATTCTGCCAAGCACTGCTCTTGCTAGGGTTAGTTGTTAGCAACGACGTCAGGTTTGAGCCCCGTGAGCTCACCTACTAGTTAAGGTTACGCTGAGAACGTCTCTCAAGACCATCAGCTTAGGTAGAAAAAAAATCGAAAGACAATTTGATATCTCGTATAGCTCTTCAATACGTAATATAGATATAGTATTACCTATTATACGTGACGTCAAATTAATGCAGTTGTTCGCGCAAAAATTTTGCTTTTCTAATTATTATTTTTTAGAATACATTGATAATTTGCGATTGTGCTAAAATCAATAACGCATGTGTTACGTTTAACAATCACACAGTACAATAGGTGCGTCCTACTTTCATGCATCGAACTAATCATATTCACTAACTACTTGCTCTATCGGTCCAAAGTTTTCTTTCTGAAGCTGCCTTCTATTGTTTTAACCGTACAATGTTTCACTCGAGACGTGTCCGGTTCTGTAAGGCTTTTTGTAAATGTAGACATGTATGTATGTCATTAAGCAAGATCGCGCCTTTTCTCAAATGATTGTCAATTACATTAACCAAAACGCACACACTAAAGATGTAAATTAAGATTGCGTTACGTGAAACCTTATGTACTGCAATCTTCGTTATTTTACACATTAATATATTAACTGCTTAAAAACATGAAATTCAATCACAGCTAACTTCATTGGCTGTTTTTATCGATTAAACATGCGCTTTGTTAGGAATTCCAAATTATTACATGTCGTTTAACGCGTCCAAAGTCGACGGAAGATGACCACGAGGTAGAGACCCCACAGGTTGCACCAACCAGATCCGCACTACTCTCGACACCACAGTTCACGATGCTCTACACTCTGCAGCAGATAGGAGCAAATTGTGTAGAATGATCCA